GGATCCGTGAACGGCCCGGCGACTGCCCGGTTAACGCCGCCGCTTTCCTCTAGTCAGTAGGGCTGCGGTGCAGCTGGGTGGGCGGCGAGTGCGCTGGTGCCCGCCAAAGCTTCCGCTGTGCTTCAGGCTGCCTCAGGGAGCCTTTTCCCATAAGGATCCTCCGACGTAAAGAGCTGAACTCCATCTGGCAGCCTCACTGAAAAAGCCAGTGTAATATGCAAATTTGTGGGGAACTTTGTTAACTTGAGGCTTAGGTTAGGAGCCAGAGGGCTTTTTTTCTTCAGTGAGAGCTATTCGTCCTGTACCGGTCTGACGAAAGCGTGGGGATTCAGTTGAGTTCAGGTGGGTGCCAGAAGTCTGAAAGAAGGTCTGGGAGGGTTGATAAATGTTCATATACACACATTACATTTTGACTGTACAATATTTATACATCTGAAGGAAAATAGACTGAAAATACCCGAAAATAGACTGAAAATGCTGATTAAATAAGCACTACAGTTAATACTATAGTGTGTAGATTGTTTTTTATTACCGACATACTACCATTTAAAAAAAGTTGTCAGAGCAAATCCAGTGGCTTTAGCCATAGTTCTTCAGCTTCCATGTTAAAAAGGAAGGCGGTCCCTTACATTTGGTGTTTGAGGACATCTACAGAGGTGGGTGGCCGTCATTGAATTGATTTATAATCTTGTTTTTATTATCACTGGATTATAGTCCTTTGTTTTTATGATTTGCTTTCCACGCTTTTATACCTTTCCTTAATTAAAAGACTTCACAAGTAGTATTTGTGTAAAGTTGCAATTTCACTGATAAACTTTTCTGTCTTTTTCTACTTTCATCTGTAGGTCAGATTAAATAGGTGGTGTATGGAAATAGTACACATAATCTTATTTCAGAATCATGTCACAGGCATTGCAGGCACAAAAGCAGAATTCTAGTTCCAAGTCACGTGTTTCTCTAGAAACTTAAATACTGCTTCATATACTGCCTGAATGATAGACTGCAAAAAGGCTAAATACGGGTTCAGTGATTCATTTAAGGTCATATAATGAGACAAAGATGGCAGGATAGTAATTTTTCTTGTATCTTAGCTGCACCCTGTCTCATCTGATTTGAACTGCTTCTGTCAGCAGGTGGCTTTTTTTTTTTTTTCATTTGTTTTTACATGATACTGGCCTAACACTTTCAATTTGTGCAGATAACTTAGCCTCTTCCCACCCACCCAGTATGGCTGGTTGGACTTTGCTTTTCTAAGCGTTCTATTAAGCATTGGAAAGTAATTTTTCAGATGGTGTCCTCTCCCATTCTTCTCATTAAGCATTGTAAAATATTTTGAAAGGAGCAGTTGTTTGGTGTTATAGGACTGTAAATGTGTTTTCTGCTTTATAACCAACACATGATCTCTTTCCTGAGAAGCTTACATGCCAAGTCTTTGCTGTTCTTCAGGTTTACGTATGTGCTTAACTTCAGTGCATGTGCTTAACTCATGCAAATCCTTGTACACCATGGGGCAGTTTACCTGTTTGATCCTGAAAAAACTTGCACATATATTTAATAAAAGATGAGACAAGAGAACATTTTTACTATCCACAGGTACTAGCATGCAAAAAAATTGTCTTTTCTGATCTTTTGCTGCCTTCATTCCCATTCTCCTCCAGGAAAATAATCTTTGGAGCTACAAGACTGTGCTGTTGCCCTTCCCCATCATTGTGGTATCATCTAAGAACGAAAGATTTTGCAGAGGTTCTGTTACCGGCTTAATTATGAGTTTAGCGAGGTCTCTGATACCACCGTCTGCCTGTTGATAAAAGTGCCCTCTAACGTCAAAGTTGTTGTCTTCTGTCATGGCATCTGTGTTTCATAGGCGATTTTAGCAGCTTTACATTAAGGGTTTGGGGGTTTGAAGCAGTTTTGCTTCATTGTGACCCAAATCCCATATTCTGAACTTCAGCTTGGCTTGTTGAAAACAGGACAGTTTTTAAAAATTGCTTTCTCTTACCTTTTTTTTTTTTTTTTCTCCTGCCATATGAATTCCAGTGTTTGTCAAAAGCTCTCAAGGCAGAATTCTGTCTGCAGAGCAGTAATGAAACAGATGTGATTCCTGTACGGTACCTTAACACTGGTTTAGCAGAAGCTGTTCCAGCTTCTTGATTGTGACTGTCAGCAAAGGTGGCAGTTGGGTGATTTTGGGGTCATTAACTTTGGTGCAGTTGTAACCTCCATGAGTTTCGTTTAGACGGAGTTCTCAAACAACTATTAGTTGGAAAGATTTTTTTATCTTTAAAGCGAACAGTAATTAACCATTACAGCAGAGTGTCATAGGAAATGGTTAATTCTCCATCTCTTATGTCTTCAGAATTTGAATTTTCTTCAAAATATGCTGTAATCAAACACAATTCTTGAGCACAGTTCAGGGGTAATTAGGTAAATTTAACTTCCCTTATACTTCGAAAGGTCAATGTTGTCTTCCAGCCTTAATCTCCATGAATGAAAACTATTTCTGAACGTTTCCATAATGGAGTGGTTTGAAGCATACATACGGCACAATAGTTAGAGGTGATTCTTTTTTTTTTTTTTTAATCATCAGTCCCCTAAAGTGCTTGTTTCAGCTTTGTTTCCCAAATCAATAATACACATTTTCATGTATACTGTGAGTGACCCTATAGTGAGGTGAATACTGTAATCTGAAGCGTGACTTACCTTTTGCAATAAAAGAAGTTCAGTTCCATTTGTTTGATCTTTGCTTCTTTAGCTGGCTATTATCTGTCTGTCATGGTTTTTCTTTATATTTCATCCCATTAAAGGTCTAAAATTCTAATCATGTGTTTAAAAGATGTTTAGTTCAATGGCAGCAAGGGGTCTTGCAGACCCAATTTGAATTCATCTGTGGAAGTACAATATTTTTTCTCTCCCAGAAGTGAATAATCATCTTAAATTCACATGAAATCTTTTTGTGTTACTTGAAAACTTACAGATTAATAAATTCAAAGTTGTCAGTTTCTGCAGTCATGGAAAGATAGCAAAGATGAAATTAATGTCAGGGAAGCCCAGGTTCTTTTCCTAGGCCCTGCAATACGGGGGAGACAAGGATTTGCTAGGATTTTTGTCATGGGAATTCTCTTCTGACAGGTTTTAGACATCACAGTTCAAAACCTTACATAATGAAATCCAACTACTAGGAAAAAATAAGGATTGCCAGGGTGAGTGGTGTTTACTTCGGTTATCCTTCTGGGCTCTCAACCTCCTGCCTGCTGTCAAGATCAGCTTTTGATATGCTACAACCTAGCTTCCATTTCAGTTTGTCTTCTTACATAAATAACTCTAGTGCCTGCCTCAGCTGTGACTGTTGCTCTCATAAGTGGTGTCATTGAAACTTGCATGCCTTTTTCCTGTGTCATCTCAGACATCAGTTCCAAGTGGCAGTAGGAAAACTCAACAACATACTGATTAGTTTTTCAATTTGCTGCTCTTTTCCAGAGCAGAAGGTCCCTGGAGTTAAGAACACTTTTTCTTTTTTATTTTTATGTAGGCTCTTGTCTTTGCAGTGGTAAATTAATGCCAAGTTTACTGAAGGTGTGTCTTAAGCTCCTCACTTTAAGGGAAATTTTATAATTTCACATTGGCATTTTCATTAGGCATTTATACATTAGTAATTTTTGGGGGGCTTTGGTGAGTTTTTCCCCACAGATTTCTCCAAGGCAGGACTTTTTTGTGTGTATCACAGTAGGTCTTCACTGCAACTTGGTCTGTGATCCTTGGATAGGCAAGCAGAAAGGCAAATGCAAGCAGCTGATTTTATGGCTTGAAATAAAGTGAGATTACACTTAAATATGTATGTTTTAAGAATAGGAATTGGATAAAAACTTGCAACCTGGTGGCAACTCTTAAAGAAGCAGTGAATGTCAGGCTAAATGTGGTAATATCCAACGCTGTCCTGCACCCTGGAGGTGGGAAAGATAGGTTATGGATAAAAGCATGTTTGTAGTTTTACACTGTTTTATGTAACTAGGTAAATAATGACTTGACACTGTGCTTCAATTATAGTCGTATCTAGAATACTACGTAGAGATAGAAGATGCTTTTTCTGTGTGTGACGCTTAAAGATTTAAGAAGGGAGCTAATAAAAGTTGAGTAACAGTTTATGTAATACAAAGATTAGATAATGAAACAGGAAGAGATAAATGAAAGCCCACCTTTTGCAATATGGAAGAGAAGGCTGTAGGAGTACAACTACTGCGCTGAATCATAGGTGGTTCCTATTCTAACAGTAGTTTCCTTGATGTAAAAATTATGGAAGGTAATTGCCTGGTATTCCTCTGCTATGTATTAAAATTTCTAAAGTTTCCTTTTCTTTATCAGTTTGGGAATAGATTACTATAGAAGCATAGTTGTGCGAATGATTTTTGCAATCTAACCCACAAAATGCAGGTTAGAATGGAAGACCCACATTTTTTTCTGTCTCTTAGGATAGTTTATCAGTTGAACAGCTGTCTTCTGTTGACTTACCTCTAAAACCCCTATGCAATTTTTAAGAGCATATGCCTTTATTTTGCAGCTACAAGTTTGAGTTTATCACTTACCAGTTATTGGGTGTCTCCTGGTGGTGTATTATAGTGTACCCCCATCGTATTTAAATCCCAGCATTCAGTATTATTTTAGGAGAACAGTGAGTAATTTGTCCCATGACGCCCACTGTCATCACTTGCACATACTCTCCATCTCTGTCGTCTGTTAATAACGAAGTATTTTCTTCCACTCCTGGGATGGTTAGCTGTAAGTACATGTAATCTGAGACAAAAAACATGATTCTGAGCAGTCTTACCGGTGTGCTTTGTCCATGGTCAGGAAGGTCATGAGCCACAACCCTTTCTTATCCCTAAATCAGCTTGCTTTTTTTTTTTTTTTTTTTCCTTTTTTCTTCAATCTTATGGTAAGCAGTAGGAACTGGTGGCTTTATAGGTATAATGGGTCACGGGCTGTTCCTCGCATTGGAGCTTTTAGAGCCATCAAGCTCTACACGTTGTGAAGGCATGGATAGTTTAAGAGGTACAGATCGCAGGAGGGAGGCTGACTTTATGTGGGAGTGGAATGGTTGAAAGCAAGATGAAAAAAACTTTTGAGAGATCATCTATGCCTTTTCCCCTTCCCTTTGGAGTCGGGTCAGGTATTGCTGACCTGTTCCTGACAGATTTTTGTCAAACTTATTTTTAAAATTCAATCTCCATCAATGAAAGTTTCACAACTTCTAGACTATTAATTGATTTCACTGCCTTAATTACAGTTATTAAGGTAACTGTATAAATACAGTTTATTTCCTTTTCTCAGTACCCTGTGTGTATCTGGAGGTAGCTATGTGCTTTTCTTTAGTCTTCTACTCAAATTTTTGCAGTAACAGACTTTGAACTCCTCTCTTTATGTGATCTCTTTAGCTAGGGATGAGCTAATTACTTTTAATTCATAGCAGTAACTTAATTCCTTCGGGGCAGGAGAATTTGGCGTAATTATTGGCTGCAGATGTAAACGGTGACTGTCTTGCTTTGGAGAAACTAAGGTGTTACTTGCAATAAATAAGCATAATTTAATGTAATTGTTCAGTTTTATCCTTCTCTTTTATAACTATATTCATTTTATGTTTCTTGTAGCAATTTAAAACTTCTTGTGCCTCTTACAACTTCTGTGTGGGCTGTGATCCATGGTTTAACAAATAGTCCTTTAAATAATCTTCTACTCTCCCATCTAGTTCATACCTCTCATGAAATATGATGTGAAAATTGAAAAGTGTGTTCCAGGGCAGACTATACCAGTATTGAATAGAACAGTTTTTTTCATATGTGCTTGTATTGCCCCTCATATATACACATTGGAGTTCTTGTGGTTTTTTATTTTTTCCTCTAATAGTGTTATGATGCTGTCTCACTGTCAGTTTGTGATGCATTGTAACCCCTGGATCCTTTTCTGCAGAGCTGCTCTTTAGGTGGCTTTTCCTCATCTCTTCAGTTATTTATTTCGTCTAAGCACCATACTTTGTCCCTGTTGAATTGCATCCTATTTGTATTAGAGTCTTTGTCAGGTTTGTCAGAATTGCTTTGCCTTCCAGGGTGTTTTCAGTCTCCTCCTGACTTGCCATTATCTGTGTTCCCAGTCCGTGTATTGTATTTTGCCATATACAGGTCAGGAATGGAAATTCTGGATTGCACCAAGCTGAAATTCTGAGCCCTCTCTGAAACTCTACTGCAAATATGCACCTAGTTTAACTGTAGTGATTATTCATTACATGTAGTTTTTCTAGCTGTTTTGGTACCTGCTCAAAAGTAATTTAATTTGCAACTTACTTTCCTACTTCATATATGAGAATGCTTTGTGACCCAATGACAAAAGTGTTACTGCAATTAAACTGTTTTTCCTCTACCCACTAAGCATGTTACCTGATTAGAGAGGAAAACTTGTTGATCTCGTGCTGTTCCTGAGGAGCTGGTGTTGCCTTTTATTTATGTTGTTATCTTGTTAAGTGCTTTATTTAAAAAAAAAAAAAAATCTCATTGTACCTGTTCCTGTATTTTTGAGTGTTTTGAAGTTGTTTTGACTGGCCTATGAATTTCTGGACCTGCCTTTCTCTCCTTTTTAAAGACAAAAATTGTTAAATTTTCCTAGTATTTTGGAACCTCACCTGCTTTCAGTGAGGCCTCAAAGAAAGCTGTTAGAGGCTATTGTGTTGCTTAGGAAACTTACCTAAAGCATTTAGGGATAAATTCCCTTAGATCTCACAATGTTAAAAATATCTGTGTAGTCTATGATATGCGTTTTTCCTACTCAAATATATTTCTTTTATCATTGCTGCAAATTGTGTTACTCATGATTATACTTAACCTTCTAAATGATAGTGGAAACAGAGAAGATATTAAATACCTTTTCAGTGTCTTTCATTGTTAAGTTTCTGATTGTAGTGATTTAGCAAGTCTTCTTTGTAATCCTGTATGTTTTTTCCTTTCCTAGTTATATCTCACTTTATGTCTAGCAACTCTGACTTTTTTTTTTTAAAAAAAAAAACAACCCAGAATTCCTGCTTGGGCACAGCCCTGTCTCTTCTAGGCAGAAGATAATGCCAGCAGAGCAGGCTGTGGCATTGCACGGCTTCACAGCTATTGCCTTGCTTAGTATGGCCTCTGACTCTTTCAACTTACTTACAGAACTTCTGTTTTGGTGTCCTGTTTGCTGGCTTTTAAATTCTTTCTGCCTAGTTTAGCCCACCTCTCTCTGAAGTATTAATCTATTCAGTGAAATGCCCTTTGGAATTTTAAAATGGTTTTGCTCCAATTTGGGGGTGGGGGGGAAGGTGTTTAGTAATAAAATTAGAAGCTCATTTAATGAAAAACAAAGTAACATAACTCTAGTGGTTGTGTAGGTAAGTGATGTATATATGCCTTTGTGTAAACTGTTAAGAATGTTTATGAATATAAGAGGATGCTTTTCAAAATTTCTCTATTAATAATCTACTTTTCATTTTACAGCATACACAGCTCAGGCAGATGAGAAGACAGTCCCTGGTACTCCTACAGATGCTAATGCCAGAGCCTTATTGGTTTGCAGTGGACCTTTAGAACATTATGACTTTCTGATTAAGCAAGAAGAGCTGAGGAATGATGAGCAACAAAGAAGAGTTGTGCAGCACCTGCAGAAGTTGCACGAGAGCCTTAAAGGCTACAGCATCAGTTCAAAAAATCTTTTCTCAAAGGTGAGGTAAATGATAAAAATATTTTTTTGCATTTATATTTGCTTATAAGAATGTGCTTAAAATACATAAATTTCTGTTATTAATACAAGTCTTACTTTTGCAGCTGGGTCTTTCCAGATAGATCATTGTTCATGTTTGGATCTCTGTTCTTACTTTTTTGGTTTGTAAAATTCCAGTGGCACTCTAGAAGTAACCAAATTAAATATTATTGAAATAATTCTGTAAGAAAATCTGATATGATTTTGGTTATGTTCACCGTCTGCCTTTCTAAAAATGTCATTTCACTACAGGAGAGAAGGGCCTAGACCAGGTTTTAATTCTCAAGCACATTGTGTTTGGGTTACACATACTGAACACTGATGTTTTGTGTTCTAACAGGTCTTCTATGAATATAAGTGAAATTAGTGAGCAGAGTCTAAATAATATAGCTTTGCAAAACATTATAATATAGATCAGACATGACTTTAAAAAAAAAAAGTCTATTCTTTCCAGTGTTATTAGTTTCTACGTGAGGTAAGGAAAGGAGAAGGAGGTGTGATCTGCACCCCAGCTGTGTTTTTGGGGGCATCACAGCTCCTTTTCAAAGTATTAGCAAAAATTCAGACATATCCCTGTTGCGCAGCACCTTAGCAACCATAATGCCTTTAGCATTAGCAATGCTAGTAGTCTGCTGTTGCAGCTCTGTAACTTTTCCCTGAAGCTGTTGACACAATGTTTTCCATAGCCTCTATGACAGTATTTTTCATGTCTTGTTCTCATGCTGTTATTCTCAGATTGTTGCTCTTGTGGCCTTGCACCTGCAAATCTTGGTAGCATTGTTATGGCAGGTTCTCATGGGAAGCAACTAGAACTGGTGTGAGAATCCCTCCTCAGCTTTCCTTGCCTCTTGTGTGGATTTGAGTTTATATCCCAGAAAACCAAACATAGCACCCAGCAAAGTAGATAAGACATTTATTTACTTGGTAAATATTAGGCCGTCGTAGATGTGCACAGAAGCTGACCGACCAGTGAATATGCTTCATTTGCGCATGATTAGCATACTCCAGTCAGCACAGATAGTCATAAACACAGTGAGGGGGAGCAGCAAGAATAGGGTGTTTAACTGAGTCTGATGATAAAAGTATAGTGCTGGGAAAAAAGCATGGCAAAATATTCATTGCCATCATTATCTTCACTTTCCCTGCCTGCACTGGAAAGATACCTCCCTGCCCCTAAGAGGAGGATGCCTGGAAGCTGTCACTGCTCTTCCTAGCCAGCCACTGAGTGTTTTTGTTTTTATCTTGCACCTTTTTTCATCAGAAGTAACTTTCACATTTCCAGTCAAGGTATGCAGTCAGCTGCAGGCCTTGCTAATAAATCTCTGTCAGCCTTTCTCAGCATCCTTTAGGCAACACACCTCATCTCATGGGCATAAATCTAAATATCTAACTCTATTGAACTTGTTACCTAACCATATACTTCCCATTACAGCCCCAAATTCTCCTATTACCTGGCACAAATACTGTATTTTATTTGCATGGCAAGCCTAAATGATGTAGCATGAGATCAGGGGAGCCAAAGCCTACAGGGCTCAAGTGTCTCTAAATGACATGCTGTCCTCTGCGCTTTAGGCACCAAATGACAAGTTACCACTCTGAGGCTCAGGCAATGTATGTTAGCTTCAAGGCATGAAAAAAGTAGAGAAGAGAATGTTGGTATGAGAGCAAGTATCCTACCTGTAAATGGCCTGTGTCTTACCTGTAAATGTGCCTGTTTCAAATAGGCAAGTATAGCAGAGTGCAGAGCATTGGGACACGTGCTCGTGTATCAGACTGCCTTCAGCATCCATTGAATGCTTTAAACTCATATATGTAGCTGGAGAGCATGTATTTGCTAATCATATGCTTGACTGGAAATGGCAGAAATGTCTTCCTGCTTGCTGAAGAAAGGAAGCAGACTAAACACCTAGGAAGGCTCTTCCCTCTCCCTTATTGAGATACAGTGAGAAGAAACCTGAATGCAAAATAATTTCATGGATCCGAAGTCAGGCCCTTTGGAAGGAAAAACACGGGAGTAGTGAAGAGTAGGAAGCAAAGTGCTAAGGCAAGACTGTTCCTAGAGGGCAACAAGTGTGTCTTTGGAATTTCTGTTCTGGAAGCAGTTGACCCCTGATCACCCTTATGGGTCCCGTCCAACTTGAGATATTCTATGACCCAGCTTTAAACAGGGGGTTTGGCCGCATGATTCCCTGAAGTCCCTGCCAACCGAAATCATTCAATGATTTTAACTCCGATGTGGGAATTGGAGCCAAAGAATGGTTTGGGGTGTATTTTTGCCTGCTCTGGCTGGTGGGTCAGCTCATCACATTACTTACCTGTTTACTTTTGTGATTTCTTTAATTAAAATTATTAAAGACATAAAACCAGTGTAACAATGGTAAATACAGTCTGAAAACTGTATGTTTATGGTATTTTAAAACACTTATACTGTATGTGGGTTTGTGCCTGCGGATCCATGTTGTCTTGATGCTTTTGTAGGCTAACTCTTGAGTCTAAACCAGCCTCCTGATTCAATTTGGGCAAGTACCAAATAAAAATTTCCTCTTTCAAAAATGGTTATTGCTTATCTTTGTTATCCAAAGTAATATGGCAGTGTGCCTGAAACTGTTTTTGCATAAGTGTAAGGAGATGAAGCTGGATTCAGCTTGCCAAATTACTTCTGTGAGTGTAATCTAGCAGGCCACAGTTTTGTATCTTGAGGATGCTCAATGTGAAAAGTTCGGGGTTTTTTTTTTCATCTGTCTGGTTGTCGTCTTAAGCTTTGGTGTTGAGCTTGTAATATTTTAAATTACCCATCTCAAAATTGCTTTAGACACTATACCTGGACTGTAAAAGAGGAAGTAACTCAAAAGGAAGCCAGTTATCTGGCTTGCTCCTCCATTATCTTTTGGACATACTGCAAGACTTTTACTAATTTTCATTCTTTAGAAAAAATGTTATGATGAAGGTGTTGGTCTTGCTGTCAAACCTGAAGATCAGTAGGCTAAAGTATTTTGTTCTTTTCTGGTAAACTGTTTTGGGTATTTGGATATTCTGTTCTAAAAGTGCTGCCTTTGAAAATAGTTTTAAGAGCTGACTTGTGTTAACTGGAGTGGCCTGAATCATTATAGTTGTTAGAGCAGGTGTCTTGTAATGGCTTTGTAGATCAAGTATTGTGAGGGTTTGTTATTTACTGTTTCTTTGATTGGAAAGCATGAATAGGGAAGAAAGTCTCTATTGCGGAGAACAAATACTAATCTTACTCTACTTAGGAAATTGTGATGCTACTTTGTCCCTGTATAGCAGTGCTAATTGCAGTAAAGCCAGACTGACTGACACTGTCTTAAAAGCAAAAGGTCAAATGCCATTTTTTAGGTTGAGAATGTGTTTTTTCACTAGTTCTTTAAAGCACTCCTCTCTTTCATTTAACATTGCTTCAAATCCATGCTTCAATTTTAAACCAGCATTTAAAAATTGTTGCATGGCTTGCTGATACCTCGAACTAATGCTACAGTCAGTGAGAAGCAGCTGTAGAAATACTTGCTATTGGGATAAGCGTTGTTGCAGTTTGAGGTTTTTCTTCTAGAGCTTGATATCTCTGTGGTAATCTTAAGAAGACTGATAAGCAAGGTGAGCGCTATGGTGCTGTGCCATACATCAAAACCACAGAAAGGAGGAGAGCAGTGAGTTTTGTGTAAATCTGTTAAAGCCTGCTAGCTTGTAATTAACCCAAATAACGATTCATGATGGAGAAGTTGTCACAACATCTTTGTTTCTCTTCTGCTGTCTTTGAGGAAGTTATTTGCCAATTCAGTGTCACAGAAGGAGCGATGCACTTCACTCGTAAGAGAGAAGCAGCAATATATTTATTGCTATAAAACAGTGATTTAACAAAATTTGATAGTAAACACGACAGTGGTTTAACAAGATTTGATGGCAGGGTACATTTGATTATTTACTGCATAGAAGACAGTCAGACAAAACTGTTAGGGAGACCCTCCCGTTGAGTCACAAGGTTCAGAGAGGACCCCTTTGTGTTCTAAACTTCCTCAGCACGACAAGGACATGGACTTCTTGGAGCGGGTCCAGAAGAGGGCCACAAAAATGATCCGAGGGCTGGAGCACCTCTCCTACGAGGCCAGGCTGAGAGAGTTGGGGTTGTTCAGCCTGGAGAAGAGAAGGCTGTGGGGAGACCTTATAGCGGCCTTCCAGTACTTAAAGCGGGCCTACAGGAAGGATGGGGAGAATCTTTTTAGCAAGGCCTGTTGTGACAGGACAAGGAGTAATGGATTTAAACTAAAGAAGAATAGATTTAGACTAGACATAAGAAAGAAATTTTTTACAATGAGGGTGGTCAAGCACTGGAATGGGTTGCCCAGAGAGGTAGTGGAGGCCCCATCCCTGGAAACATTGAAGGTCAGGTTGGACCTGAGCAACCTGATGTAGTTAAAGCTGTCCCTGCTCACTGCATTGGGGTTGGGCTAGATGACCTCTAAAGGTCTCTTCCAACCCAAAGCATTCTGTGATTCTATGATTCTGTGATTCCTTCCCTTAGGAGTCTAGGTGTGGCTGGATCCAAACTTAGTCCCGGACTTGGTCAATGGTTTATGTCTAAAGGATTGTATACACGCAGTCAGTCCTTTATATCACTTAGCTAAGATTACAGAGTTTCAGTGCGCTTATTCCCAATTCACTTACTATGTGATGTGATTTGATAAGGATTCCCTCAGCCTCGAGGAGTAACCTTGAGAGGTGTCCCTACTCAAGGGGAGATTGTGGTGTGCAGCCCGCTGCCATGCAGGATAGCTCAAAGGGCTCTTGGGCTGCTTGCTGTTTATGGGGGTAAGATGATTGGCGCGTAGTCATATTTTCATACCAACTGCAGATGTTGGTTTCTTCCAAAGTTGGCTTGAGTTGGACGTTGACCAGCACTGTGGTTAGGTGAATGCATTGCCATAAATTAGCCCTTAGCTATTGTGTTGT